ATGTATTTGATTGCCATCGTCCTTTTTTTTTCCGTCAAAGGGTTAAGCTAAATTTAGTCGGATGCACCCGATCAGATAGGAGGTCTTCCGTAAGGAACCATCCTCCTACGTAGGGTATATAAAACTGAGAGCGTTTTGGCAGTAAGGCACAATATTTCGAACGCTTTTAGTCAGACGTCTTTCTCAAACGCTAAAACTACGGTAGCCACGCTGCACTAGATAGCACTTGTAGTCAATCCCTCTCCTGCGCCGAATAATGGCATCCTCTGCGGGGATGGAACACCCGTAGTCCGTAAATTTGCCCATGGCACAATAGGGAGCGCTTAACCCTTTCTCGAATGACTCAAATTAGTAGACTATACTAACACTAGTGACGGAAAATCAAATAGAGCCATTCTGATCCGTTTGGAAATCCCACCCCATGACCACATTGTATTTTGACCAAGCGTGTGAAAGCGACGTGCCCGCAAAGCGGTTTAGATCGGACCATTTCATTTTATGGCTGTGACTGGCTGGAACTCAAATATTGCTTTGAGCTCACTCTAAGTAGCTAGTCGACGAGACTCTAAGTGTAATATTGTGAAAGAGTGGCGCCGTTTGCTGCTGCTGGCTTGGTAAACACAGTAAAAAGCCGCGAAGGACACTACGCATGACGACTGACAAGCAGGTAAGCTGAAGGATCGGCGATAAGCATGGAGGATTAAAGTGTTTCGCATCAGATTCCAGTCGTGAAGCTATTGATAGGGTTCTATGACCTTTGGATTTGGATATGTAAGATCACTCAGGAAATGTGTCTTCATCTAAACATGTATATCCGTGATCGATGGCTGGCCTCTCTGTATAATGTTATAACAGTGGTGTATTGCGCAGTGGCCGAAAAAGATCGCTAAATCGACGGCATCCACTTGGCTTGCGATGCACAGGCCGGTACGCACTCCTGTATCAAATGCAGCACAGAAAGGAATGTTGGGTTTTTAAGCGACAGCTGAGCTGGACGAGCACCACCACGCCAGTCGTGTGAACCTTCGAGCTGACACTCTACTACCGTCTTACCCCGCATAAAAGGCATATGTGCTCTAAATAAATACGGGATTCGCTCGACATCTAGCTTAAACCTCAATTTGACCACCTATCTAATTAGAATACATGTGTAAAACACAAGGCTGTACCAGCCAATGAATATTCTTGAGAGCTCCCAACCAACCACCCTTCTGAACAAACTTGTCGGTGCTGCTGTTACTTGGCTTTAATTCTCTTATTTTAAAATTTACACCATATGTGCTGAGCGACGTAGCTATAGTATCCACGAGAAAATCGCTGTTCTAGCAGACTATCGGATAGGCGTGAAAGGTCACGGCTTTGCTGCTCTTAGCAAGAAGCACAGCGTGGCGGTTTGAACCCACGCCGATCGCGTAGGAGGGTCAAGCCTAAACGACCAAGCCATATTCCAGGACCCATAGACTTGCTTCTTCAAAGTCAAACAATTTGTTCGTTATACAACACATAGGCTTTCTAAACGATTATAACACACAAGCAGCGTTGTATTCATTTACAGCACCTATGCCTTATATGCGGGGTAAGACGGTAGTCCACGCCCACCCCACGAATGTAGTGTCAATCCCTCGCCAAAATCAATAACATGCAGACACGCCAAATCATACAACAATCAATCGCAGTTGAAGAGCAGCAGCCAGCTTACCCATTTAAACTCAAGCGAAGTCTTACATGCTGGGCATCAGAGAAGCGCGTTCACCAGAAGAAGCGCTCCAACCGCAAACCGCCTGATACCCGCGAAGAAAAACAACCACGGAAAATACAAGGAAACGTAGCGGCGGTGATGGGAAATGCCAACTCCAGTGCCGGATGGTGTAAGCACAGCTTCTATGGCAGTAACAGCAGAGCAACCCGCCGAACCCTTAGTTTACATGGTAGTACGACCGTTGCAGTGGCACCCCCGTCCATCATAGTGTCATGCTGAAACGCTTGTTACATTCTCTCTGCTGAAGGGAGTTTGGCTGTCACAGCGGGATTTCGACGATGCAGGGAGCGCATACACCATCGACCTTGTTTCGCTCTTTATTGGATTGTTTTAGGTCCTCTCATTGGATACGCAATTTTAAAAAGCAGACAAATGGGTCGGCGTGGCATCGTAAACCTTAACGTTTTTTAGCATCATCGTCAAAGCCGGCGTGGGGGTCGCTTTGCCAGCTCCACACTACTGAATCCGGTTTTGCGGAGAATGATAGCAATTTGGCAGCAATCGACGCCAGCAACGAGCAGTATAATCCATTGGAATCTCAATGCTTGAAGCCGAGAGTATAAAGAACATGCATTTTGACAGCGTTGCACACGTCGTGGAGCCTTCCGATTTATATCATGTCGTTGGGGGATGCAATAGTTTACGCCAGTCCTTTTGCTTTAGCCATGTACCTCATCAAAGAGAATGCTGATAGCGACTCACGAGCTGTGACAGCTAGCAGCGCGACTGAACCATTAGTTCTTGACACCGATGGAAGTATATCACTAGCAGCTGTATTGTAAGTGGGTTCGACCAAGGAGCAGAAATAGTAGCAATCGAAAGGAATAATTCTACAAGATCGACAAGCGGGTGGTGCTACGATTTCAGATGAAGCAGGACATGTGAAACAGATCCGGAGAATTAAATCGCTTTTGAATATGTTGAAGAATACGGGTGGAAAAGATGTGGAAATCGGCAGAGACGTGTCACTTGACGATGTTAGTGCTGCATGCAGGACCAAGTTTGGCCGGAGACTGATAATGAATAATCATATGAAGCCTGGGGGCAGATATCACTTACGGATTTACAAGCCTTGATGCGCTTCATCGTGGATAGCTATCAATTTTCGAGTCAATTGCGCCAGTGAATTGTCTCAACGTCTCCAATGCGTAGTTGCAACAGAAGACTTAGCTGTCTTGCAAATAAATTTGGACGAGCTATCAAAAAATCGTATTAAAATTATGGAAGCTGAACGACCTCGTTATGACTCGAATCAGATAATAAACACTGATCGCTACTACATTTCAGTGCAGCTTCTTGCGGCGCTGTGCCTTAAGGGCCTCTACGGTCGATGAACTATTTGCGGGAACAGTGGAGTTCCTGCATCGTGTCGTCCGAAAATGAAGGAGCAACATCGCGGGCAGTACCGGCCAGTGATTTTGGTCGGACATGGGAGGATTGCAGTGTTGTGGTTTGACAGTGCGGTAGTAAAATTGATCTCAAATGCTGACAAGCCGTCTGAGACCGAGCTTACACGAAGTCTCGGAAGTCAGCTGCAGCCGTTTAATGCTCAATCGTGTGTATCCCATTACAATGCAATCGCGCAAGGTGTCGCTCATCTGGATCAATTGCGAGGGCGAGTTTTGTCAGCAGACGGTCAAACAGTTAAGAAATGATATAGTAAATTGGAATGGAGTTCGGCCCGTGTGAATGCATACATGTCAAGACGACTGATTTTGATATGACCAATTATCGCGGTTTTTCGTTGTTCAACTTGCAAGGGAGCTAACGCAAGGTAAATGGATGGAGACGCCTAGCGACAACACGATGGTCTACTCACACAGGGCCGAGGAGACAATTACAACGCCAATCGAAGGGGCACCTATATGGCAATGTGGCTTGTCAGGACTTCCCGTAGTGAGCAGCCCACAACAACTTGTGATGCGCTGCGTTCGAAGCAGCTTTTTGACAAAAGGCAGCGGCACCGGCACCGGCACTGCGTAGTATGAAGGTGGGGAGACCGATATCCCACCGTTGTAACAAACCATTGCACGCTACATTGCGTAAGTCTCTGTTAGATTGTGCATACAGCTGCTTTCGAGGCTTACTCTTATCAGCAGCCAGTACAGACTTGTTAAAAAATATGCCACAAGTTTTAATTACCCCAGGGTCTTTTCTCAAGAGGAGGGAACCTGAATCAAAGCCCGTTGTTCCAGCGAAAACTGAAGGCCGAACGAGATGCAAGAACACCTCAAACAGAATGCATACATGTACATGAAAGCCATGATACCGATGTTTAGTTGAGCAATGTAATTTACAATCAAATGCTTTCATGTCTACTTTCGTTAAGTATATATACAGGAGCATTTCTTGGTGTCCAGTTCACAGCAACCTTTACAACGCCATGCCGTTGCCAAAGGCCGCAAAACTGTTTAGCCAGCTGATATTATGTCGGGGGCAGATCTCGCTTGTGAATGCAGCAACCCAGGCGGCCTTCATGAATGAAAGCTCATTTGTGATGTAGATTTGTTGCGGTAGGCTCAAAGCACAAGTTATTCCCAAATATAATGCTAACGCTGGAAAACTGAAATATTATCGAAAGCTCAATGCGTGTCACACCTTCTGCGTAGGGAAACATTCTCTTCCGTTTCCAGTATTCTGCAATACTGGAAACGGAAGAAAATGCTTCCCTAAAATCCCGTTACAGCGATCGACCAAATCCCGTCGTATCTTCATTCAACTCTCACTCGAAATGGTTTTAAAAGTTCAATTTGGATCAATACGTTACCTAATCCAGCGCCAATGCCCATGGACATATCCACAGCTCAAATAGCTTTAATTACCTTTACTGCATCAATCATCGCAGGAACACAGCAGAGCAGTAGCTCACCAACATTCAAATTATGCAAACTTGGCGGATTGACAATTTCCTGTCTCGACACGTATTTAAACATTGCACGCACGAGTTCACAGGCCTCCTTGGACTCTATTGCTCTGGACGTGAGCGTGGGTTTCGACATCTTCTTCTTTGCTTGGCTTATCTTTTTCGCTGGCTTCTTCTCGGGGTTGACATTCGTCTTTTCCGCACGACAGGCAACCATCATCTTCTTTGCAGCTGCAATATATGCTGCAATCTTGTCCTGCGTTGAAGGGCGCGACAGAAGATGCCGCGCCGGAGTAGAAGTCGTCGCCCTCACCGTCTTCATATGTGTGGTCTGCACGTCCGCATACGCGTGTTCCCCCTCCTCCCTGGTGTTCACAATACCTCTGTCGCCAAAATAGGCGTCAGTCTCACGCTCCCTGTACAAATAAGCCTTATGCTACGCTACCGTGAGGTGCCGAGCCTCCCCACGTTTGCATCCGAGCCGCGCAAAAATGCTTCCGACTCGCTGCGTGTTTCGCGAGAAGCAACCATCTTCTACCTCTCGGCTTTGTGCCAGCTAAAATCGAAACGAATGAGTGGCCGGAGGCTGGTCACAGCTGCGACAAATATGTGAACAGTTCTTGTGAAGAGTGCAGGGTCGTTGTGCTAGAATTTTGCCTAACCCTGTGCATTTCACATTCTTTAACCAGTCGTATAATACAGTGTTGGCAATAACGACGTTGCAACAGGTGAAGCAACGTGATTTACTTTTTACCACCCGTGGTAACGTTTTTACGCGTTTTTACACGTTTTTACGGATCTCGAACACAAGACAGAATCCTTCATCAGTTTATTTTGTGTTAGCGCGTCATGACGTCCCACGACAAGGAGCTGGCGCGTCTCCGGACGTGTAGTGGCAAGCTCATTTTGCTGGCTGGAATCTTGGGTGACGCCGCTGTAGCTCTGGCTCAGTGGCAATTCATGGCAAGATGAATACGAATCACAGCAGCCGCTCAACCAAAACGAGACGATGTGCACCAACATCACGTTCGGACTGCCGTTCGACGCCGACAAGTACGAGGACGCTCTGCGCGTGAGCTTACTTAAGACGTATTCTGACTGCTGGAGGCCGTACGGAGATCGGTGTGAAGGGCCTCAATCTTAGTAGCAGCCACCGCACTCGTGTGGCCATCGCTTGTGCGGTGTATCAGGACGTCGGCATTTATCTGCTGGAAGCCGTTCTGTCTGCAGTGGACAGCCATGTGGGCACCAACATCTTCAAGGCGTGCTTAAAGGAGTCGCTGAAGGGCAAGCTGGTGCTGCTAGTGGCGCACTCGCTGAGCTTCGTGAGCCATTGCGACCAGGTCGCTGTGATTGCTGACGAAACAATCATCGAGCAAAGATCGTTCAAGAAGCTGATGATGGTGTCGAATAGTGAGAATGAAGAAGACAAGGAGGACATGACGTCAGCAGGGTGTTTAGAGAATAACTTGGCGCTTTCGAGTGATGAGCGATGAATTCCAATGATTCAAATGCTACATATACTTGGTAGCCAACGTTGGCAGCTTGTATTGAAAAAACTTATAAGAGCGCTCTTTACAACTTGGCACAGTTTACCTATATCTACGAGAGAGGAAGCTTTAGCGTCCGGTCAGCTTTTACGGCGATGCTGCTACAGCAGGCAGCTCCACCCAGCTTGAAAACAGCGTTTCTAGCGTAACCTGTTGAGCTCTCAAACCCGTCAAGAGCTTTCCCTGCGGATACAATGGAATACTTCATCTGGAAGCTCTTGGCTTCGGTTAGCTACAGGAACTGGCTCCAGCTCTGGGTCGTAAACATACCATTCATCGTCACCGACGTTATTCACAATATTTTCTCCATCGTCTTCTAGATCGACGATGGCGTCCAACCAGAAGTCCACTGCTCCAACAGTCTCCATGGAGTCGACATCAGTAACGTCAGCCAGAGTGGACAGCGAGGTTGCAGGATCGGAAACTCCGTGCATCTGCTGTTTTGGTCTCTCTGCAGGGTTAACAGGCTTCTTCTGTCTTCTACACTCGCCGATATCACTTTCCCGACGATTGCGCTCGCGGACCTCATTTCGAATGATGCCGATGAGTCGAGCTTTATCAAACTTTAGCTTATTTCGCCGTGGTGTCTGTATCAATCCCAGCTCGCTAAAGTAGCGCTCGCATGTCGCAGTGTTCACTGCGACTGACAGAATCACTTTCGCTAGCTGAGGAAGTTTACTGCCCTTGACGTACCACGAATCTGTAACGTGGACCCAATAATCAATTACCCCATTCGGTTGAAGGACACCGGCCTGGTCAGTGAAGTCAGTGTGCTTTTTCGGGGTAAATTTGCCACGCAACCACTTGTCGACATCACCTACGAGTCCGTTGCTGTTGAGATCAACATAGCGGCGATAGTAATAGTCAGCAGCAGCGGAGACGCCGTCTACTGACATTAAAATGACAGTATTGTCGTGAGCTTGGATTAAGGCACGCGTATGGGTCACGTAGAGCGGGTGCAATGCGAAAGCGAGAAGCATCAGCGGTTGCTCACAGTTCGCCCATCGCTTCTCCACCACTGGGACTAGATGAGAAGCGTATGCACTGGCAACAAAGGCAGCATGTATTTTTCCAAAGCACCGCACGACGTCCGCCATTGTGTTGTCATCTTTTTGTAGTCGATAGGATGCTTCCTACAGCGGCCGGATGACACGCTCAGCATCGATTAAGTTTCTCCAGAACAGCGGGTCGCGAAATACATGTAGCGTTGTAGGGAATTCAACATCATATCGATATCCGTGGGCCAGATCTTCTAACGCCGATCTAACGCGAAGTAGGCTTGCAGAGCATGCCTGCATGCTATTCCAGCGGGTCTCACACAGCATAATAAAAGCCAAGGTTTCCCCATACATTACATAAACGCGCTCGTTCGCACGCACGAGCCACTTTGCCGATGAACTGTTTAAACTTGCCATCGCAGAAGCTGCCTGCTTCGTTACTGTCTTAAGCATTGTCTTTAAAACGGCTTTAACCAAGTTGTTCACGTCATGAGCGAAGCACCGTAAAAACACAATATTTGGCCATCTTAAGGCCAGTATTCGTCTGGCCCTTGCGCATTGACCCGCATCGTCAGTAACGACGGCACCAATAATCCATCCTAGTACCAACGCTCTCATAAGTGATCCCTCCATCTGCTTGGCTATGGCAATGTCATGGTGAGCTGAGTCGACGGGTAGTAACTCAAACTGGACAACAATGCCAAACATGCAAAGTTGGCATGTAAGAAGGTGACGTCGAGCGACATTCTGGTATACGTCAGAAAGGTAATTCATCCGCCCGCCAGTATCCTCTTGCTTCTCTCACAGGCTCTCATTTGACGCAGTTTCTGCGCTTTCTGCATTAATTTTAAGAATACGACCACCGAGCTCTTTTCTTGTAGGTAGTTCATAGCGCGGCTGCATCCGTGCAAACAGCCTCTTGGTTGAATCGCGCTCGATGAAATAGTCTGGTAGCGGGCACTCAGCTTGAAACTCTAGAAGATCACGCTCAAACCTATGTTGCTCGTCCATAGACATATGAAATCACTCATCCGTTTTTGCCGTTTTGCTGCGGTGCTACTCGAAGATCCAATTGACGAGATGGACCGCACAGACGAAATTACAGGTAGGGTCGTAGCAACAGCCTCCGGTCGGTGGTATGGACAGCGCTTTAGATGACTACGATAAGAGTCGGCACGATCACGAATTTACTCCGGTGCTGCCACGTTGCCGGCGCTGTTGCCATGCGCGGCTTGGCACTTTTTGCAGACCCACCAGTGGTGCTTGTCGGATACGCTTCCATCCTTCTGGACAATGGGCACTTGGCTCTTGAAGAAATGACTACGTTCTTCGGAAGCTGGGGCAGGCATCGGCCAGAAACGGAAGGTAAGACGGGCTCAAAGTTATTGTATGAACGACCAGGAAGTTAGAGACTGTGATCCTGCGGCGAATAGCAAGCCACACTCTACGCTGCAAAGTTCCCTTAGATCAAAATAGGATCTTTTCTTATCTGCAGGAGGACACACACTACCACGAACAACCGAAATGGCTTACGAAACAACGCGTAATAAGTCCGTAAAAACGTTCTGACGGGGGTTATATCTTTACCGACTTCTTACCAACGTTTCAACGCGTATGAACGCTTTCAACGAAATTTCGCTTCTACGTCGGTTGCCAACACTGCAGTCTCACGCTCCCTGTTCAAATAAGCCTTATGCTAGGCTACCGTGAGGTGCCGGGCCTCCCCACGTTTGCATCCGAGCCGCGCAAAAGTGCTTCCGACTCGCTGCGTGTTTCGCGAGAAGCAACCATCTTCTACCTCTCGGCTTTGTGCCAGCTAAAATCGAAACGAATGAGTGGCCGGAGGCTGGTCACAGCTGCGACAAATATGTGAACAGTTCTTGTGAAGAGTGCAGGGTCGTTGTGCTAGAATTTTGCCTAACCCTGTGCATTTCACATTCTTTGACCAGTCGTATAATACGACTCGTATTTACATAATGTGTGGGAAAATGTCATTTTGCAGTTTTTCAGCACATGTCACAGTACAACGTGTAAGTTTGGAGGGGGAACCCTAACTGGGTCGGTCTTTTTCTCTTACTTTAAAAAAACATTGGGATTGATAGCTAGATTTACTATAATTCTTTGCCGATGTAGTGTAATATGCTAATCAACTACTTGTGAACATGGTTCAGATGCACTGCATCAGCCTTTAAATTACTAAAACTGTAAGTTACTACACTTGTTTTAGTTACGCTAAAACACTTTTACAAATTCATTATTTTCTCGGCGTACTGAGTCACGATGATTCCTGCTTTCGTCCTGCGTGTATTTTCGTCCCTAGGGTTAAAACGAGAAATTACTGTAAGTGGCACCCGACGCAACGAAGAGGAGTATGTGTGTAAGCTCTTTCACTGCGTCATTTCTCTCTTAGTCATTTATGTTTACTTCGCTCTGTCAAATTATTGGAGATATCTTCAAAAAGGAGGTACTTTATTGGGTAGGCTTTCGACACTGCAGCTTGTGCGTAGATGATAAGACGTTGATCGGGTAAGACTAGCACAGCATCAACCGCAGGGAAAGGCATCAACAGAGGAAAATACATCATCAATTTATTCTCAATTCTAGATGACGCTTGGATAAACATTGATTTTGCATCAAATGGACCCAATCGCGACAAGGTGTTGCTGCTGCCATTGATCGGCTCGAACGGTCTTACTGTTAGCGCCCTAGAAGCGAGGCTTGGAGCAGGACTCTCTCGCGTCTCCTTCTTACGCCACGAGAGCAAATCTTCTGTTGGGATCTTCAACAAATAGTAAAGTTTGTCAGATTTAAAAAAAATTAAGCTCGAGCTAGTAATTGCCTCCACAACCAAGGATGAATATGCCAAACGAAACTCGTCGGGTTCGTTCTCCACGCGTTATAAATGTAGTATAATGTGCTTTTCATGCACTTCCTGTCATCAACGTGGCGATCCATGTGCTCCAAACCATCGACAGTTTTTAGA